GCGTTTTCGCGCGCTCCCCTTGCTTACCAAGGGCGCGAAAACGCTGCGCCCCGGCCCCTTTCGGCTGTTCCGGCGGCCATTTTTTACCCGCCGAACAGCTGATGGCAGCCATTTTGGCGCCCTCGTTCTGCGAGGGGAGGGCGCTAAAATGGCTGCCGCCTATGGAGGAACTTCGCTGAACGGTGAGTTTGAAAGCCATAGGAACGCATTGAACAAAGTTCAATGCGTTTCTATGGCTTTTTCCCTCCCGCACAGCGATGTTTCCCACAGCAAAGGTTAATCCGGAATGGATTAACCTCGCTGTGTGGGGCACCACTGTATATGGAAGTCAGGGCCTTGAGTCTGCAGCAGTTGAGCAGGGCTATTAATGAGAGGGTATTTTGGAGTTCACAGGGTTTCTCTCATTCACAGGGTTGGCATAAATCAGGTGACTTGACAGCAGAAAACAACTGCTTCCAATATTAATTGTATCAGTGAATAATTGTATCTATGAGATACCCCAGTGGAGGGCAACTCTGGCTTTAACGGACAAAATCAGCATCTTGAACTCTATGAAAATTAGGTGGAAGCCAAGTATTATGCAGAAGCATATGGGACAGTGTGGCTGAGTGGCTATCAATGGATCTGGACAAGCAGAGAGTAAGTTGTACTGAACTTTCTTTCTTTCTTTCTTTCTTTCTTTCTTTCTTTCTTTCTTATTGATTTCAAAATGGCCTTCACACAATATCTTTTAAATGCCAGAAAGACTGTTTTCAGCCCTACTTCTAAAAAGAATAGAATTACTATATTGACAGCATACAGTAATGCAGGGATTGGCCTTTTTGCCAGTTTAGGTGTGTGGAAGTCAGGATTACATCAAAATAGAGTGAGTTTACCTAGAGATTGAATAGAAGTGGAGCTAAGATCCATTACTGTTTCACTCCTCTTCTGACTGGTACTGTATGGGTTAAATGGCCTTGTGTATTGCACAACTGGAGATATTAAAGGAACGTTTTGTGCAAAGATGGGCATTATAAAGGAAAAAATGGTAGGGACCTCACAGAAGCAGAAGACATCAAGAAGAGCCGGGTGTGATGGAGGGGAGCCAGCCACTGGCCCTGCGCCTTGACGGTGGAGCCCTCCCAGCTGCCGCCGAGCTCTGCGCCCCCGCCCGCTGCAGGAACCAGCCGTTCTGAACATCGGCCGTTCTGGCATTTGATTCACATTAGTTTGGAGTGCTTGTTCTTGTTCCGCAAAGATCAAGCCTTCTGTTCCTTTCTTAAGGGTCCCCAGTTTTAGCCATGCCCATGTTGAATTATGATCATGCTTTCCATCAAAATTTTCAGGTGTTTTCCATGTAGTGGTTTATTTTTCCAATGGTTTATTTTGAAATTGCTCTTTCTTATATTGAACCTTTGTTTCTGTCGTTTTCAAAATATCCTGTTTTCACCATCTTAAGTAATTTTATTTAAAGTTATTGACATTGGGATTAGTGGGATGTTAATAATGGTGACAAAGAATCTCCTTGAAATATTTCTCTTTTGATGCTAACTTCCCCAATTTCTTCACCATGGGCTATTAAGACAGGTTTCCATTTTTCCATTATTTTCTTGAGGAAATTCTGAATATTTTTACTAAGCCCGAAATAATTTAGACAATCATTAA